AAAGGTTTGATGGGAAGCCTAGGGGGCAGGGAGTTGAAGGTAACTGTGATGGAATAATTTGGGAAAGGATAGTGAGAATAGTGGCATAACTGGAAGAATGTAATCGATGTCACTAATCGTACAAGTAGAAATTTTTGAAATGGTGTATCTTTGGCTATGTTATTTTCACCCCCACCCCCCAAAAGTCCTCCAAGGTCGACAAGGGAGAGTGTTGACATGTCGTCGTGGGGCTGTTAACCAATGTCATAAAACAGTATGTGTACTGTTTAATGAAAAACTGTTCTGTAAACCTTCAACTAAAGTACAATAAAAAAAAATTAAAAAAAAAAAAAAAAGTCATTGTCCTTGGCAGCCCCTACCAATAAAAGAAGGCTCAACAGTTGGTGGGCTGTTTGGCTACTGGAGACATGTACCACATTTAGACACTGTTTTGGCCCTGCCAGTCAAGGTTACTCACAAGGTGGTGACTAGCAGACTAATGATTAGAATATTAAGAGCTCCCCTGTGTGGGAACAAAGATTGTGACAACAAGCTTGTGAGCTAAAAAAGAGACACTTCATCACTCACATTGATGTCCATGACAAAGGACCGCTTGAAATGACACACAAATAGAATTCTTGTGCAAACCAAGCTTATGCCCAGCAAGTTGCCCTGACTGCCACTGATCTATCATCAGACAGGATATAGAAGCCCACCTCAATACAAAAATGTGCCAATTTGCAAAGACTTGCTTTAAAGAAAATAAAAGCGACGGATGCCTTAAAGAAAGTCTTGTGACTCCTGTCAAACAAGCCCAAGCTATGCAACATGGAAAACTGGGTCACATCAGCTGAGAAACTGGTCCTGCACGCGTATGGCACGTCGACCATGTAAAACCTCTAGTTTGTAGTTATGAACTTGGTCGTCCCTCACCTCTGTGGACATGAGTGGTAGCGGGGAGGTGGTTGTTAATGTTGTTTCTCTTCCTAGATTATCTCAGTAGACTGGCCTATGGGCCCCAATGATACAGGCTTTTGCTAGAGCTGCCAATAAGGCCAACTGGGGCTGCCAACATTTGAACAGAGATGACAAGCCATCTCTCCACATTATTTCCAATTCATCTGTCAAAATGGCAGACCATGCGAACTATACAGTGGCATCGTCCTCCAAAACTAACATGCTGGAGATCTGAACAGCAGTTTGAAGGTGCTATGTGCCATGTAGGGAGAAAAATGCTGTTTTTTTTCCCTTTGACCCCATTCAGTTGGTTTGAACAATTACTGGGGTAGCTGGTTGTGATCTCTCCTCCAAGCAGGCCTGATGACCCTGCTGGGGATAGTCCTACTAATGTTGTTGGGTGCCATCAAGAGTTATTTTCTACTCATAGGAAACCTCATGAGACAGAGTAGAATTGCCCCATAGGGTTTTCTTGGCTGTAATCTCTACAGAAGTAGATCACCAGGTCTTTCTCCTGAGAAGCCACTGGGTAGGTTTGAATCAACGTTATCAGTCAGCATCTGAGAACTGTTGTGCCACCGGGGCTCAATGCTGCCTAAAGATTTTACGTAAATAAATGGTGCCCAAGCAACACCCGTCAGAGTTGTGCACCATTTACTTAATATTGTTAGGTTGTGCAGATGCGATGGGAGGCTGGGAACTGAATTTCTCATCTGGAGCCTCTCCTTGTTCTGAGTACACAGTAACTTTTTCTGTTCTGCGCATGCATGGGCACCATATGGTACTTGGCCAACCCCTTTTCTGTATCTGTCCTGGTGAGGAGGGAATGGAGTCCTTTACCTGCAGGATAGGACAGGTGCTCACAGACCTGCTCTGTAATAGCTGCTGGAAATTTAACTCGCTGGCCATGTAGGAGCAGTGCCTGCTAGTGAGGCTGACCTTGCTAGGTTTTCCTGTTTGTAAGGTATACCAGACACTGCCTGTGTGATTCATGTCCTCTGGTGGCAACTGCAGTCAGGCCCTGGCTTGACACAGACCATGTCACAAAAACTGTCATCTTTGCCATTTGTTTTTCTAATGATTTTACATTATTGGATATTTAATATTGTTGGCCTTGTCATTTCCATAATACATATACCCTAATAAATGCATTTATAAATAACACTGCATTTTACATTGCACCAGCAATGTTCATGTGTCTGTTCCATTGCACTCTCGCCAACACTGGCTACTTGCATTAAAGAAAAATCTTAAGTTTTGGAATCCCTGGATCGTGCAAATGGTTAACGAGCTTGGCTGCTAAGGGAAGGCTGGCGGTTTGCGTCCACCCAGACGTTATCTCGGAAGAAAGGCAAGGCTATCTACTTCAGAAAAATCAGCCATTGAAAACTCTGTGGAGCACAGTTCTACTCTGACACACACAGGGCTGCCGTAAGTTGACAGCAGCTGTCAATCCTTAACACATGTTGGAAAGGGGCATCACTGTCTGGACATATACAGCTTGTAGGACTCCTGGAGAAGTCCCTGGGTGGTACAAACAGTTAAACGCTTGACTACTAGGTGATAGGTTGGTGGTTCAAACCAAAAGTTTAGTGCCTTAAAAGTAAGGCTTGGAGATCTGCCTCTGAAAGGTCACAGCCTCAAAAACACCATGGAGCAGTTCTACTCTGCACACACGGGGTCGTCATGAGTTGTAATCAACTCAACCCCAACTAACAACAAGGCTCCTGGACTTGCCATCCTAGCTTACTTTACATCCCCACCGTACTTCACATAGGCTCTGAAAGCTGGCCAGGATGATCTAGAATGGGTTTTGGGACAGAAGTCACTTTCAACACATGGCCCACGTATTCCATAAAAGAGGCCAAAGAAAACCTAACAAGGACGTTAAACATAGCCAGCAAGGACTTAGGTTACAAAAGTTGAGACTAACAAAATTACAGCTTCACCAATCTCCATGTTTAGCAGCCTTCCCATTATATTGTTATCATCTCTACCTCACAAAGAACTGGGCCAACGTTTATAGAGCACCCTAGGCCCTGTGGCAGGCATCCTACGCATCTTTAACTGGCAGAAGCTGAAATAACCTGCCCATGGCAACAGAACTAAGTGCAGCAACCCAGTCACAGTCTACGTTACAGCACGCATGTCCTCCCCTTCACCACTACCTCCTGGCAAAAGGGACACAAAATTAAACACCCAGGCAAATTATTTCACCAATATACAAAAGAGTGCAAAATAAAGTTACCATTTTACATACAGTGAAGTTATAGTGAAAACAAGAAACTCACAGTGCTGGTTCAAAGATGACCATTTCCAGCAGAGCAACATGGCATTTAAATCATTTCACTTGTGGGATCAACAAACAAAAAACACAGTATAATAATAAAGAAATATGATGTAGCTAGTGTAATTTCCTACTATGATTCCTGAATAGAAACGGGTATAGTGGCAGGGTGGGATTTATGAGAGGTTTAAAACTTACGCAGACTCATTTTCTTCCTGAATACATTAATTTGGCATACCCTACACTGCTGGAAAAGAACCCTGGTGATAACAGTTAAGCACCTGGCTGCTAACTGAAAAGTTGGCAATTTGAACCCACCCAGCAGCTCCCCAGGAGAAAGACCTGGAGATCTGCTTCTTTAAAGATTACAGCCAAGAAAATTCTATGGGGCAGTTCCTCTCTGTCACATGTAGTTGCTATGAATTGAAAATCCACCCCACTGCCAGACACTGATTAGATAAAAACTGACAAAATAACACATTAAACTGCTATCCCTGCCTAATCTCTGGAGTGTCAGTCTCTAGGACCAGGAAGCTGACTCTCAATTTGGAAAGGACAGAATTAGACATTAAAATTTAGATTTCTCTTTTCAACAGTAGCTAAGGCTAACAGGTGTAGAAGTGAAAAAGAGATATACCAACACTGTAGATCAATTTGTCATGACTGACACCCAAGCGGGGATACTAAGCAATTTTTATACCAGCACTTGTCTAATTTGCCATAGATAAGTAAGCAATAAAAAACAAAAACCACACTTCATTTTACTCAGGTGACCACAGTCGACTGCAATACTTAAGTACATGCAAATTTATCCACATTATGTCTTCAAAACCCATAATTTGTTAAAAGTTGATTTGAAGCAACTGAATAAAATTCTGCCGATTTCTTCATACTTCTAGAAGTGAGCTATTAATGATGATATATTCCAGATTCCCAGTCTCATGTCAAATACCAAAACTACTGATTTATAACAGGGTTCCATTCTGACAACTCTGTGCTAAGTTTGTTCTGACATAAGTCAAATATTTTTTATTGGTTTTCATTATTATTGCTTTTTATTATCAGTATGTACACTGAACTTCTGAGAACATCAGCAAATTATGTCCTGCAACACTATATGTAGTATATATTACTACTAACCATAAGGTGTAAACAAAAAATAAACTCAGATGGTCATAAGTGCAGTTTGCCATAACCTCAATATGTCATAAGTTGGGGACTACCTGTATTTCAAAGCTAAATAGCTCCCAGGGCTGCTATCGCTCTTAAGGAAACAGTTAAAAACTCCTCAAAACCATTTTCTGTTTGGAAAACATGATTACCCTACCTCGTAGGCTAAAATGTGAGACACAGAGAGATATGGGATAGAAAATCCAATTAAATATCTTCCAGCTCCCTTTTTAAAAACATTTTTTATTTGCCCAAAGTATGTTTTCTCCAAAGACACTGAATTACATGTCCATGTATAGGGTAAGAAAAAAATGTGAAAACAGAACCAGGTCAGTATATATTTACAAAAACAACCTAGAGTTTTCACTGCCAACAAGGTTTCTTTAAATGAACAATGGCCAGATTATCAGAGTAAAAATGTTCTGGTTTTTAGTATGAGGCCCAGGTATGTCACTCAATTAGATTTTAAGAAAATTTCCCCTGAGAAATTACGAGTGAGTCTCATCTATTGGCAGACTGTTTTAAGATGGGGGGGGAGGGGGTGTCCTATAACCAGCTAAAGGACATATAATCTAAAATAAAACAAGCCAGAAAGATACACAAAGGCAATTATTTAAGACCTTTATTAACAGGTGCTTGCAGTTTGTTGACTTTTTTGAAAAAATCAAGTTGTAAACTTTTATTACAAATTAAAAATGAGGTTCTTAAAAATCTCAACTTGACCAGATATGAAACAATTTAAAAACCCTTAAAGGTGTATTGAGAAAAACCAGGCTTTTTAAAAAACACGTTTGTCATTACCAAAAAGAGACGTCTTTAGGTAAAAATAATAAAAACCCCATTCTGCATAGATAATGCAGATAGTTCTAGTTATCTGGTCAATGGGCAAAAAGCAAGCACTTAAGGTCTTCAGCTCCAATCTTTTGTTCATTTTTTATTGCTGGAATTTCATATTCTTCTTGTTGGATGACTAAACTGTAAAGAAAAAAAAATTTAAAGATTATCTTGCACAATTAATTGCAACGCTCATTTAGTATACCAAATTGCTCCAGATCACATTAGCTAAATATAGAAAGGCATTAGCAAATTTCATATTGGTTTAACCCAACACAGTGATTTACAACAGGGACAGGCGGACATCACTGTGTGATAAGAATGGTTACCTGTGGGTTCTGGATGGCCTTATGCATGAACATAGCACAGAGGAAAGAAAAAAGTACCACTGGTTGAAAGTAATTCCAGAGCCAGACAATTACATGCCTCTCAGTAGCAAGTAGAAAGCTGAATGCAAAGTAATACCTTAATTTTGGAGTTTAAGGTTAACAAGAACAAGTGAGCCAATAAGCTATACTAACAAGAACCTAAATGTATCTTTATCTGACCCGCTAGAAGAATTATTTGTCTTACAGGCATTTTAAGCAAGGCATGAGCAACATTTTCTTAGAAGTCCTTAGGAACAACATAAAAACTGTCTCTGTTTTTCCCAAAAGAAGAAACTCACAAACTATTAAAAGATGTCAAACTTGCCACTTTCCTCAAATAGACTATATTAGCCACCATCATCTAGGTTATCAATTCTAGCAGTTATCCCACTTCTTTCTGAAAGTGAAATATAAATAACAAAAACAATATACTTCTTAGAAAAACTTGTGCAAGACTTCATTAGTTTACTGATGAAATCACAGAATTCATTCAGAAAAGTTGGCAAAAGGCTTTAACATGCAAGATACACCGTGTGAAGGCAAGCCTCCTGGTGTTAGAACTGAGGTGGCTGCAAAAGGCCAAGTATGGCTTTGATACTCAACATTCCTAAAATGGGATATTTAGATAATTTTAAGATTAAAATAGCTTCCTTACCCGACGAACTGGTTTATCTTCCGTATTAATAAAATGAGGTGGACACACTTATGAATGCCATGCTCAAAAGCCAGAAGGCCACATAAATTTACCTACCCGGATGATGGTAGAGATGGTAAGCCGGCATTTACTCAGCCCCGCCCTGCTCAGCCTCGGGAGCGGACGAATTCTCAGCTGGTGGATCGGCTGCTTTTGTCTCTTTGCCATCTTGTGGTTTAGGGTTTTCTGGGCGTCTGCGTCGGTAATTGAAGTTGCGGCGGTACCGACGTTGAGGTGGCTGCTGACCTTGGGTCTCATCTTGATTTTCCTTATCCTCTTCGTTGCCGTCCTCTCTAGGCTGTCTTTGGCGAGGAGGGCCCCTGGAACCAACATTGTGCAAAACTGCAGTGATAAAACCTTTCTTTAACCATTCCTCCAGTATTACAGTGTTAATATTTGGTTCACTCAACTAATCTCAAATCTGGCCATCATTCCATCTATCAAGTGATCTGCAGGCAATTTAGCAGCAACAAAAGAAGCAAACTTAGTTACTATATTTCACAAACTGAGGGTGATGATTTTGTACAAGGAGATGGAAGTACAAATTGGAAGACAGGTATTTAAAAACTGATTTTAAAGGATTAGAAAACTTTTTGTGCCAAGTATTATCTATTATAAAGTTAATTGTGAAGTACCCAATAGTGGCACAGCGCCATCAACACGTTAGATGTTACTTTTAAATGGGCGTCCTAGCAACCAGGATTGAGACAGACTGAAAGGGATGAACACTTGTTAAAAAAGGCAGGTGATCAAAACCAAAGAAACAAAGATGTCCTCTTCATACAAATAAAGGCAATCATTAGTCATTATGAAAATGCAAGTCAAAATCACAAGGAGAAACTATTTCCCATTCACTAGAATGGATATAATAAAAATGTATGTCTACACAAAAATTTGCATACAAATTATTAATATTCATAATAACCAAAAAGTGGAAACAATCCAAAACGTCCATCAACTTGAAGCATCCAAGTTCTTAGTAAAGCCAATCCCTCTACTTACGGCCAAAATCATACCCTGTATCTCAAGAAAATAGTTCCAGTAGTCACTTTCCTACAATCGTCCCCTTCTACTGCTGCCCCTCCATTTGTCTCTTTTTCAGCAAAACTTCTACTTCACTCTGTCTCAAATGTCTCTTTCAATTTGCTCTTAAATCCACACCAATCAGGATTTCACCCCCACCACTCCATGATCCTACTCATCATTCTCCACTGATGCTCTCTCTATTGCTAAATCCAACGGCCAGGTTTTTTTTTTTTAAAAATCATTTGACCTATTAGCACCAACAAATTTTCACTTTCTTTTCCTTTAAACCTCTCTGGGCTCAGCTGCTGGAACCTCCCTTCTATCTGTGACATTTAAATGTGGAAATGTGCTAGGGCTCATACCTTCACTATATTCACTGCTTTGCTGATTTCATCGAACTTCATGGTATTAAACACTACCCATAGGCTCATATGTTAATGATTTTTTCTTTTTATCCCTAGTCTAGACCTTTCCCTTGAACTTGACTCATATATCTAACTGCTTGTTTAGCAACTTCATTTGTATATAATCCTATAAAAAATCCTCCAATGGCATTCTATCTCTCTCTGAGTAAAAGCCAAACTCCTTAAAAAGGCTGATAAGACAAGGAGCTTTATTTTTCTTTTTTTGTCTCTTTATCTAGGTACGCTCCATGAAGGATGAATGTTTTGTTCATTGCTATACTGAACACCTGGAACAGCATTTAATACAGCAGACTTTCAGGAACAGCATCTGTTTCATTTACCACCCATTTGAACACAGAGTTCCTGGCTGAAGTTTGGACACCAATGGAACTGCAGAAAACTCAGGTAGTTCTACAGCATAACAAAAAGGTACAACAAAGATTCTGCTGTTGGCACCAGTAGACTTAATGAATAGATTGCCACAAGAGCCTATTTTAGACCAACTCTAAAAAATAATCTTTACTCAAATGGTTCAATGGACAATCTACCACTGGACAGTGAAGGCTCTACCTGTCTCCAACATTAAGTACAAGGCTAACACTATCTCTTGACGGCTTATACTCAAAAACTTTGTGAAGCCAGGGTTATCATGGTGGCTTAGAAGTGGAAATTACCAATGGTAATTAGTGAACCAGCTGGGGCCCCAGCTCATTTTCATGAATTGAAACTCAGCACAAGCTATACCTTGGGCATCTACAGTTAAGGCTACTATGTAGGTGATCATCAGTTAAGAAGAGTTATTACTGTATTCGTTTGAACCTTGACTCCTACATGTCAGCTTTAAGGATCGCATCTGGAAATTCAACAGTTTCATATGAGATCCTTAAAAGAAATAGCCACTGCACCATTCTATCCCACCACTGTGGGACTGGGAACACTGCCTCAAAATGCACTGAAGCATGTATTAAACATGGTGCCTTCCTCCAATTGCTTTACACCTTAATAATATATAAATTATTAAATTATGTTAAAAAGGATTCTCTAATGCCTGAGTAGGCAGGTTGGTTGTTTTCATGCTAGTCTGTGACTGGGTTTCTTTTTCCAAAACTGTAACTGTTTTTAAACAAACACTGACCTTTTTATTTTGAAATAAACATTTTAAAACTTTTTATTCTGAAAAGTTGCTAAAACAGGACAATTCCCATATGCTCTTTATCCAGACTCCTCAAATGTGAACATTTTACCACTATCATCCTCTCTTAATGTTTTTCCTGAAACATTGTGGAGTAAGTCGCAACGTAATACCCCATTATCTCTAAATATTTCAGTGGGTACAAAAATGTAAATTTCTTAATGGAATGACTTCACTTTGCAACTCTGGATGACAAAAAAAGTTAACAGATTGAGAAGTGATTAATGGAAAATTACGACATCTCAGGAAGTAAAATTTACTTTCTTGATTCTTTACTTATGCTATGGTGCAGTTCACAGATACTCCTAATGCTGAAATGACTGTTACCTTTACCTTCTTCCGTCCCAAATGAAGCAGGTCCAAAAGATATGTAACAAAACTAAGCAGAACTGTAATAGGGTAGACCTCATCTATATAAGCTGTTTTTTTAACCAGTGTCAGCAAAGAAAATGCAAGTTCACCTCTTGAGTATCTGACAACAGAAAATGTTAAGTATTAAGAGATAAAAATGACTCAAGAAGACTGCAGGAAATGCATGCTGCTGTTGATTTCCATTGTTAAGTTGGAACATACACCACTTGAGGAATTTTTAAAACAAGCAGGTTAATATAAACCATACCTGCGGAATCGTGGTCTATAACCTCGATACATATTCTGTCTCACTGGTCTACCTTGTTCTCCCGCACCCTGGTTGTCAGCACCCTGAAACGACAATGCAAATCAAGCCTACTGGATCAGTAACCTAAGAGTAAAAATCCAACTAGACAACACAGAAGAACATAGAAGAGTCCCAAAACAAAGGTTCAAATCATCTACTAATTATGGTAATACTATAAATTAATTCCTTTGGTTCTTATTAGGAATCAAAAGGTACTTTCCATATGATTAATCTTTTTATAAAAGGAAATTTGCTTCTAATCCATCTAAAATTAACTTTTATGGGTGACACTCATCACTCATTGAAAGCACAGACAAATGAGAAGAATCATTATGTCCTTCAAACTTCTTAGGGAAATATCAACATTCAGTTTAATGCAGTACGACCAGAAATTACATTCATGAGAAACAGCCCCAGTGTAGGTGAGAACCTCCAGAAAACGGTTAAAATACGGTCCTATCAAAAGATAACTGCTGCTGATCCTTTTTCTTTTTGGTGAAACTTACCTCCATCACTTCTCCCTGCACAGGAGGGTTGGAATACTGTGGTCGACGCCCATAGGGTCTCCGCATGTAGTAAGGTGGGAACCGTCGCCTGCGGTAAGGCCGGCGCTGTTGGGCCTGGCCTTCAGGAGCACTCTCCGATCCCTCGTTCTTTTCCCCACTCTCACTATTCTGGTAATTCTGCTGGTAATTGCGTGGAGGACCCCTACGACGTGGATAACGTCTATAATGGTTACGGTCTGCTGCATATTTACTGCCTTGCACTGGAACTCCACCAGGGCCTGTAACATTTGCTGCCTCCGCACCCTACGAAAGTCATTATACATTAATAGTGACAAAGGAATCAGTATACTCCCAACAAAATTCACACAAAGCAAAAAAGGTGTAACATGGCCAGGGGTACATAGAAATGACTAAATATCCATTCCTCACGATTCAGAAGAGATTGCTCTCTAACTGCAGCCAGTACATTAGGCTTGATGCACCTGTGTTCATGTAGTCACCTGACCCATCCATCCACATTAGAGCCACCATCCGAACGGGTAAGATCTCCAAAATATTTCTGTACTGAAGTCAAACCTTTACACAAAAAGCATCCTCACCTTTTCTCCTTCAACAACATCAAACTCCACAGTCTCTCCATCTCCTACACTGCGAAGGTACTTCCTGGGGTTATTCTTCTTTATGGCAGTCTAGTAATATCACATTCCAAAAATAGATTAATAGGGGAGAATAACGTGTTTTTTCATTTAAAATGTACCAGAGTCAATATTATTTTAGGTTGGACATACACTTATCTTAAAATTAGCTTAAAATCAGACCAGACTGTCAGTAAGTTAAGGAAAGCAGGGACCAATGCTACCCCCAAACTCAACCAAAATACGCCAATCTTACAAGGCCCCAGCATTTTACCACTTTTTTCAAAACTAAAACAAGCAATTTAACACTCAAGACAAACACCATAGTATAATATATTTAACAAATGCTTTCCTGCAAAAGCATTATATGTGGCTTTGAACAAAATGAGGATATCCATCTATCCCCCAAAGACTGCACTTAAAAGTAGATGCTAGCCCCACATGGTGCCAGTTTAGATGACAGGCAAGTTTGGTTTTGCATGCTTCAAAGTTAACCAAACCAACTTTGTCCCTGTGTTACCATATTAAATTCAATTACCAATGTCAACTGAAATTCCTTCCAACCTGTCTGTGATAATGCTTCAATGGAAATGCAATTCACGAGTCACTATGCCACTTTTTATATTACCTGACTGCATAGAGCAGTTGGTTACTACCTCCCCAGAATACAATAAACCTCACATTTTAGATGTTATTACTTATACTTCTCCGGACTGTTACAGAAAAGTAAAAGGGGAAGAATAATACCTCACACATTTTTATGTAACGGTTTTACAAACTTTCTTTCACACATTACCTACTCAATCTTCATTACAATAGACGATGTGAGGTATTATTACTCCTTTTTTACAGATAATAAAACAGGCTTTAAAAAGTTAGGTGACTTGCCTCAAGTCACGCAGCTAGTCAGTGGCAGAGTGGGGACTTTTCTAAATCCAGGTCTTGGGACTCCAAATCCCATGTTCATTCCACTAGGTCACAGTGGTATCTATTACAGGATCACTCATGCTTTTCCATTCTAAAGGAGGCAGAACAACCAACAAATCTGAGGGCAATTAGGCTAAGTTGCTCAGAACAGTAGTCTCCTTGATACGCCACTAAAACCTGCGCAGCCGGACAGTCCTGAGAAACAACTAAATGTTGAAACCACTTCCAAAATAAAGAGGAAAACATACTGGTGACACCCTGTGAATCAGTATAACTGGGTGACATTAAGTTCAGTCAAATAAATGATCTCATCTGTCATCTAAACTGTCCCACAGTTTTCATATCTTTACATAATATAGCCAACTTTCAATTACCTGCAGTCATAGGGGATAGCATAAGTATGGAGAATTAAAATTTCAGTCAATATCTTCCATTTCCCCAAACCCAAACCCTTGATAGTTGCTGACAGGAAGCAAAACCTGACAAGCTTTGTGATATTTTGTTCCTAAACCTGCATATTCTTTTGAACATGCAAGAGGAAAGTTGTCTTTACCCAAAGAATGAATACCACTTTCATAAAATAAACATTTAAGATAAACTTTTTCTCTGAGCAGTCCCACATTCATTTACAATTAGAATTTAAGTGTTTTCATACTTACACATTTGACCTTGGGATTATCTGATAGGGTTTTAGATGTACTAGTAATTGGCCTGGCTTTCCCCTTGACTGTCACTGAATGCTGGCATACTCCAGAAAGCTAACAAAGCACCAATCTAAAAGAGTCAACCTACAACATGCTTAACTAAGAAGCATGGTGCCTTCCAACCTCACACCTGCCTAAACAGAGGTGTGTGTGGGAAGTGACTTTAGGTCTTTTGATTTCTGGGTTACAGAACAAAAATGTTGTTACAGGTTCTTAAACAGAGTAATTTTTAATGCAAGTAGATAATATTTCAGCATTCTTAGTAGGGAAAAAAAATATCTGCATAGTACACTCGTACACACATAAAAACGTGTTTTTCCTACCCTTTTCATACCTGTGAGGATGCATAAGTCCAATGGAGCCTACAACATACTTAAGTTTGAAAAATTAAGTCATTTAGCAATGACTTACTTTGAACAATAATCTTAGTTCCTTAATGCTTCAGGACTTTTCAAAATGTTCTCCTTAAATGGTACTTGAGGAGAAAGTTCAGCATGTAGCACCGATCCTATGTAGTTTTTTTTCTTCCAAAATACTGGAAGACAATCTAAAAATTATTTAATGACTAATTACTAGGGTTGGGTTACCCAGCAAGCAAGGTACACATGGGACGTGTGTTTACTTACTAATCTGTAGTGCACAATTTCACCTTTGATGTGAAAAACAGATGAAATTGTACACTACAGATTAGTAAGTAAACACAATTAAGCCTCATGTGTACCTTACTTATTGGGTAATTTGTCCCTGCTAATTATAAACTTTGCCACATTGCCTTTTCACTTAAACTAACAAGAATTTTTTAAGCCAGCCAAAGTTCTCCAAAACTGCTCTACAATTCAAAGTGCTTTAGAATACACAGAAGGACCTATGCTGACTTTGGGGTCCCTGGGTTGTGCACTGTTAATGTGCTTGGCTGTAACCAAAAGATTGGAAGTTTGAGTCCACCCAGAAGTACCTAGGAAGAAAGGCCTGGTGATCTACTTTAGAAAAATCAGTCACTGAAAACCCTATGGAGCACAGTTCTACTCTGACACACATGGGGTCGTCATGCGTCAGAATCAATTCAATGGCAACTGATTTTTCTATGTTGACTTTGCTAGTTTTCCAGACTCCGTTTCAAATTAATATGCCCTGAAGCTTTGCCTTATTTTTCCCATGATTATTGTGATCTGTCCGCACCACAGCAGTACACCTAACAGCACTTGGCCTTGCCAGTTTACATATTTACAGCAACATCATTAGTTTAAGTTTAGGTTCATGGAGGTTATTTTTCATCTGAAATTAGGTTTGAAAATTTAGTGCAGACTACAGCAACTTCAACATTAAAAAGAAAAGCTACATCTATTAACTAAATACTAACTTGAAATACTTATTTTAATTAAATGAATCATGAACACAATGTTTCAATGTGTACATTTAAGCATGCTACTATTCTTGCTGAAGGAACCATAAAACTGTTTGGTAGTTAGACTTATAACCTTTTGCAAGGAGTAGCTGAGAAGACATCCACCCTTTTCTTCTCACAAGCCCTGAGCCAGGAGGATAAGTATCTATACAAGCACTCACCTGGTGTACAAATACATCTTCCTTGGTGTCATTCCTGCAAGACAGAACCAAGTAGAACAAGTTAGGAATTGGTAACATTTCACGTTGCCAAAGACTAAGAATACCTTTGTGCATTTTCCCCATTTTTCCTACAACTGTTCCAGAGACTTTCTGGCTGCCAATCAGCTATGAGAGAGGAAAAGAAAAGAAAAACACAAAAAAACTAGTAAGTAACCATGATCCCTACTTTAAACAGTTCCAAAAAGTTGGAGCCTCACTGACCAGGGATAAACAAGAAGTCTGAGACATCAGTGTAATCTAGCAAGCCATTATTGAGAGGGTAATTAACAACATATACTCCACCACTCCTTACCCTATTAAACATTAACAGTGTTTTAGCACACCCCACCCTTCCCTCTATCCTTGTCATCTGCTCAATTCTGACACATGGTAATCCCATGTGTACAAAGCAGAACTGCTCCAAAGGGTTTCAAGGCTGTGACCTTCCAGAAGCAGACTGCCAGCCCATCTTCTAAGGCATCTCGGGTGGGTTTGAATCGCCAACTTTCTGGCTAGTAGTCGAGCACTTAACTATTTGTGTACCCTTACCTCTAGTGCAAGATTATTAGCAGAAAGAGAAACAGGAGATGTTTCCTTTTATTAATTACTAGCTTCCTCCCTTCTTACTTCACCCTCAATTATTTCATCTTCATCATTCCCATTTCCCAACTTTCTTCAAGGTCACAAAAATGACCATAATCAAGTATAAAAATGCATATTACCAATATTCATACCACTCATGTGCCAATCACTGTACTAAATAACTAAGAAGGTAAAAATGACCGTTTCTAATAGTACACACAACCCTCTTTCACTTCGTATTAAGTAGATGTCATTTTATATCAATCATTTGTCTAGTCAAACTGCTGCTAAACAAATAGTTACTTCAGAATTTTAAAAGTGATTGTTAGAGGAGGCAATATTTGCCCCAAGACTTAAAGGAGAAAAATGTCCAGATAGGTAAAATGAGCAAGTTCAATGAAAGCTTAGTTCAGACTCACTGGAGCATAAGGAAAATGGCTGTGTGGGAGGGAAAAGGTCCAAATCAGTCAACAGGTGTAGGAGCCAGCAAAGGCTTTTAAGTACAGGAATATGACATAAGATTATCAGATGATAAAATCTGTATGTATAAAATAAAACACTGCCCACTCCTGCATCATCCTCACAATCATTGCTATGTTTGAGCTCACTGTTGCAGCCACGGTGTCAATCTTGCTGAGGATCTTCCCTCTTTTTCCTTGACTCTCTACCAAGCATGATGTCCTTCTCCAGGGACTGGTCCCTCCTGATAACATATCCAAAGTATATGAGATGAAGTCTCACCATTCTCACTTCTAAGGAGCATTCTTGGCTGTATTTCTTTCAAGACAGATTTGTTCCTTCTTCTGGCAGTTCATGATATATTCGATATTCTTTGCCAATGCCATAATTCAAATGCATCAATTCTTTGGTCTTCCGTATTCATTGTCCAGCTTTTGCATGCATATGAGGCACCTGAAAATAGCATGGCTCGAGTCGGGCACACTTTAGCCCTCAAAGTGACATCTTTGCTTTTTAACACTTTAAAGAGGTCTTTTGCAGCAGACATGCCCAATGCAATACATCGTTTGACTTCTTGACTGCTGCTTCTACAACAGACACTGATTGTGGATCCAAGTAGAATGAAATTCTTGACAACTTCAGTATTTTCTCCTTTTATCATCATGTTGCTTACTGGTCCAGTTGTGAGCTTTTTTTTTTTTTTTTAAAAAAATGGTGAGGTGTCATCTATGCTGAAGGCTGTAGTCTTTGTAAGTGCTTCAAGTCCTCTTCAGTTTCAGCAAGCAAGGTTGTGTCATCTGCAGATCACGGGTTGTTAATGAGACTTCCTCCAATCCTGATGCTGCATTCTTCTTCATTTAATCCGGTTTTGCAGATTATTTGCTCAGCATACAGACTGAATAAGTATGGTGAAAGGACACAACCCTGACACACACCCTTCCTGATTTTAAACCACGCAGTATCCCCTCATTCTGTTTGAATGACTGCCTCCTGGTCTATGTACACATTCTGCATGAGCACAACTGTTCTGGAATTTCCATTCTTTGCAATGGTATCCATAATTTGTTACGATCCACACAGTTGAATGCCTTTGCATAGTCAATAAAACACAAGTAAACATCTTTCTGGTATTCTCTGCTTTCAGCCAGGATTCACCTGACATCAGCAATAATATCCTTCATTCCACTTCTTCTGAACTCAGCTTGAATTTCTGCCAGTTCCCTGTAGATGTACTGCTGCAACCATTTTTTGAACACTCTTCAACATAATTTTACTTGTGTAAGATATTAATGATTACTGTTCAGTAATTTCCACATTCCACAGGATCAACCTTTCTTTGGAATAGGCACATATATGGATCTCTTCCAGTCGACTGGCCAGGCAGCTGTCTTCAAATTTCATTTCTTGACATAGATGAATGAGTGCTTCCAGTGCTGCATCCCTTTGTTGAAACATCTCCATTAGTATTCCATCAATTCCTGGAGGCTTGTTTCCTGCCAATGCCTTCAGTGCAGCTTGGACTTCTTCCCTCAGTACCATCGGTTCTTGATCATACTCTACCTCCTGAAATGGCTGAATGTCAACCGATTCTTTTTGGTATAGTGACTGTATTCCTTTCATCTTCTTTTTATGCTTCCTGTGTTGTTCAATTTTTTGCCCATAGAATCCCTTAATATTGCAACTTGAGGAATGTGACATAAGACTATCAGATAAAATCTAGTGGCTGATATTAAGGAATGTTAGTTATAAAGGCTATTTCAGAAGCCCACCCCAGGATCAGTGGAGACCTAAACTAAGAGGTCATGTAAGAGATACACTTCTTGAGGCAAAATGGGAAAAACTTTGTGCACAACTGAAAGTTAGAAGAGGAAGTGGAGAATACTTTGAGATTGGGGTTAAGGTGATGACACTATGGAACAAGAACCACTGGAGGAAAAACAGATTTGTAGATCTTTAGTGACCTTTCCCTTACCCACCCCTTATTCAGTAGGTCAGAGTGGAAAAGGCCCAATAGTAGCTCAAGTATTTAATGACAGAGGGAACAAAGAGTGACCTTGACTGTCTGTTGCACTGACTCTTGGCTCCTTGCTGATATATAGAGCAATAAATGCACAAAAGAATCAACACAAAATTAACTTCTTTCAATTCTGCCCTGAAAACTATACATTGGATTATCGTAAGGATACTCTTAATTTATGGGAACAAGAACATATTAAATCTTAAAATTAAGGGGAAAAAAAATCAGGAACGCTGCAAAAGCTACTAAACTACTCACGGCAAGTGACTGAAAACTGACCTTTAAAGCTAGCTGAATGTCATGAAATTGGTGTCTGGATATAATGTCTATCTGTCAAACAGCTCCATAGGCATCACATAAGCAGATCAGAGCTATCATTAACTAGTTCTCATCTCCACCTGATTGAATTTCAAACCCTAAGGCTCTAAGAAGTATGATCCAAGAACTGGCAGAGCATAGGTAAGGTGTGCTAAGTCTAGAACAATGATTCTCAACAGAGGCAATACTGTCCTCTCCCCACCTCATTGGGCATTGAAAGTTGTTTCAAAGAAAGGAAAACTTTATTTGCATTTAACAGGAGGGTGGTGGTGGTGGGGAATGGAAGATCGGGCTTTGCTGGATGACTATATAAAGAATTATTTGGTCTCCTTCTCAACTTCAATGCAAGGAAATTGCGTATTTATCTGAGCCTGGAATCTATTATTTTCGTAATGTTTTATTAAGTATTAAATTTACTAGAAATGCAACACCAATGGAAAGGGATTTTTCATTACGAACGATAATACTGCTCATAATATCTGGGTCAATATTTGTGGTGGCAGTGATTAGAGTTCATTATGTCAAGTACAGTACAAACAGGTATTTAATATTGAAAACATACACTGCAATAAAAAATAAAAGGAGTTATCTATAAATTTTACTTCAAGATTGTACAAAGAATATTAGAAAATTTAACTTAACCACTGATGTAGACAGGACAATCTTCTTAAAAATCGAACGAGGTAGGTAATACACACAATACACAGTTATGTGGAACGCAACATCAGTTCACTAATAATGTCACGCCAAACAACAAAGTACTCATGTACTTTGCTGACACTAAACCAGATTATATCATGGCCAAAGTGTATATGGATTTCAGGAAGACATTTGACAGCTCAAAGAATACAATTTCAGCCAGGATAGAATACTATGGTTTGGATAATTATGCAGTATTTGCAACTTGAGTCCCTAAGTGGTGCAAAATGGTTAACAGGCTAGGCTGTTAACCCAAAGGTTGGAGGTTCAAGTCTATCCAGGAGCCTCAGAAGAAAGGCCTGGCAATCTACTTCTGAAAAATCAGCCACTGAAAACTCTATGAAGCACAGCTCTACTCTGACATACATGGGGTCACCATGAGTTGCAATCAACTCCATGGCTACGGGTAATTTCCAACCTGCTAAATGACTACTCAAAAATTCAAGGGACTGCTAACGGGAAACCCAATTTTCAGTCTTGATTCTAGCATGAAAGCTGTGTAACCTTCCTTCTCCTCACTATGTCTTTTTCTTCACCTGCAAAATGAGAAAAACTAGACACATTAACAGATTACATTACTGAGTTCCAGATATTGTGGCAAGTGCTTCAAAATACCATTATCATTCAATCGTCATAATCCTGAGGTAGGCAGTATTATTAATCCCCCACTCTACAAATTAGGAAACTGAAGTACTGCTTACAGTAACGAAAAATGAAGGTGACAATCACTTTTAGGCACTGGGGATACATGATATGCAAAATCAGTAATTCACATCCTTATGGGATTTATAATCTAGTGGAAGCAAAGAATGCAGTGCAGATATACTGATGCTGAGTGATTAAAAACTGTATTAAGAATATTAAACCTTATTCAAATAAAACTGTAACGACTGTCATTTTTATTTTTCTCTTCCTTCATT